AGTGGCTCGAGGACCGGTCGCCGTCTGTCAGCGCCAGCACTGCGGCAGCCATTAGCGCATATAGCCTGTGCCGAGCTCTCTGTGTGTGCGTGTGCGTGGGTGGGGTGCAGGGGCATATCGGGTTTTTGTTGGCGACTCAGGTCACATCAGCATGGGAGAGTTACAGACGCAATGTGCTGATCATTCACAGCCCATCAATAAATACGAGTACACTCGCAGGCCAAAGGAGCTTTTCTAGGCTGCAGGCAGGGAAGGATGCACAGCAATGTATAAAATACAATTAAAAAGAAATGTCCAAGGAATCACAGGCTGTAACTATAAACACCTTCAATTTGCAAAATAGCTATGTTTCCATCTTTTATGCAGGCATATGCAAGTTCGTTTCATATCTTAAAAAAGGTCCACAAAAGTTTGCATATTTTAAGTCCTATTCAGCATTCAGCAACTATTCATTTACACGTGTCACCCGGAAAATGCAATCTGCACTCATTTCTGTTCATCTCCTCTGCAGCGGCTGTAGACGGTGCCGTCGGGACCGGCATTCAGGCCAGCTCGCTCCCTATGCCTCCTCGCTAATTGATTTAGCAGCCTCGGGCAACAAACCCCGACCGACGTCACTCGAGCTCGCCCGGCCGGCCGACTCAAAGGCTGAGCTTTAAATCACGTGCCGGCTGCAGACTGAATGCCCGAACAGGCCGGCCGGCGATCCGCCGCCGAGAAATTGGCCCCCGCGTGGCGTCGATCAGAGGGGAATTGACCCGCGACGGGGCGACCCGACAGCTCGGCGAGCGGCCCGCTCCGCTCCTCTCCGCTGCGGGTGCGGCGCCCGTGCGGCGTCGCAGTCGCTGAACTGCACGCGGAGGTCGCTACACTGACGCAGCGCTGAGTTATCCGCGCCGCCTGAGAGCCTCCGACACGATATTGTGCAAAATCGGGCCGACGCGCCGCCCTGTGAGCCGGTAAATTTAGTGCGCACGGATGAGGACGGGCGCGTGGCAGCGGCAGTGAGCTCCGATTGAGATGGTGGGGCAGGTGTGGATACACAGGACAGGACGGGAACAGCGGCGTGCTGAGCGAGATACAAGCGCTCTGTCTATTAGACTGTCATCGAATGGACGGGGAACGACGATCTTTCTGATGCGGCCTCACGGGAAAACAAGTGGTGAATCGGCTGCCGTCGGCGCCAGTGAAGGTTATGAGCCATTCACTGGGTGGCTGCACCTTTGTTTCAAAATGAAGCATATTCAGGCGACACGTCTAAATGATTTCTCCTGCATGATGTTTTGCAATGACTGGTCGATCTCGGCCTATGAAGCTGCTCCCAGTGCCACTGGTTACTGATCTTTGCAAAGATATTCCCTCTTCATGCACCAATAATCCTATGTGTGAATACCAGACATGTGCATGGATCCGAGAAATTGAATCTGGGATCTGATCCCACGGATCCTGATCTCGGATCCGTCGGGATCATAGATCCAGTTCTTTAACCCTCGCCCGCACATGCCATTTTCCCATCCTAGAACGCACATGGGGGGGGGGGTGGTTGCCACCCCCCCCCGCGCCGTTTCGTTCCTGTTGGAGATAGAGCTTAGCGGTAAAGACCAAAAAGATTCTTTGGGAAGAGACGAATCCAATGATACCCGATTTTACCTTCTCAGGTCAGTCATTGACCTTCCAGGTCAGGTCAAACTAAAAAATGTTGCTGTTTTGGGTCACCGTTGGATATCAAGTGCGCTGCTTATCATATACCGATGACGATGCCGTTTTCTGGTGCCAAGCCAGCTAGAACCTCTTTGTCACACTACCCGACCAGATTTTTGCTGCTGAGGTCATTTCAGGTCAAGTTAGGTCAAGGTCAGTTATATGTGTTTGTATGTCTGTGTGTGTCTGTGTGTATACTGATGTGTGCACCGATTGTTTTTGTGTCCATATTACATGAAATCATGATCTGAGAAGCTTTTACCAAAAAGGCAGTCAAAAAAACTTCACAAAAAGTAAATTCAGCTTGCCTAAAACGCAATTATCTTAGATGACCTAGGTTGACCTTGACCCTGACCTTGACCCCTGTACATCGTCGAACGACATGTTCCATGATAGGTGGGAGGTAAGACTGGCAAAAAAGGCCGAAATCAAGGTGTCAAAAGCTCACAAGGCCCATGGCAAACGCAAGATGTTGAGAATTGGCCATTTGGGTCATGACATGACCTGACAAACAAGGTCATATCTCCGAAACCAAAAATCACAGAAACTTAAAATTTTCAGTGGACATCAAGAAAGGATAGAGGAGCAGCTATACCAAAAATCAGCCTTCTAGCTTTAAAAATGTTGAGTGCAGAGCAGAAAGACTACCTGGGGGGGGGGGGGTGGCAACCACCCCCCCCCATGTGCGGGCGAGGGTTAATTTATCGAGAGATCCGTAGGGATCATAGATCCGCGTCTAGTATTTTTGCTTGAGATCCAGTGGGATCATAGATCCTCATTTATTTTTGGTCAACACAGAAATCCCAAAAGATCACTCGTTGCAACTCACAAACGTTCTTATTTAGTGATTTTATGTGATAAACCGTCATAATCCATAGTTTTTTGGCACTTATTGACATAGAAACACTTGAAAACCTGGTTTCAAATGTTGTGCATGGCGGGATCCACTCAGATCATAGATCCATGTTCTTGGTTTATCGTCAGATCCTGTGAGATCATAGATCCAGGATAAATTTTTCACACCGGATTCGGTGGGATCATAGATCCGAGTCTACAATTTGCCTCGAGATCCACTGAGATCATAGATCCATCACTCGGATCCATGCACGCACATGTCTGGTGAATACACAGGACACTGTTAAATCTCGCATATCAACTGCTGTGATAACTGACAACATTTAAATGCGTTGTTCTACTGTCACAGAACATGAGCTGCTGGTCGGAACAGTGTCATCGTTACTCATCCATCCGTAAGATCTCCCCCCCCCCCCCCCCCCAGCCTCTCCACGCTCATACACACAGACACAATCGGTCGGCGACACTAAACCGGGACATGACCACAGTAAAACGGGACGCGACCACAGTAAACCGGGACATCACGCTCGGCCGCCGGCCTGATTGGTCGTCGGCAACGACAGTTCCGACCGACCGCGGCTGGGCCCGACTGTCGGCGGCGGCGGGGCGGGGGCGGGGGCGGGGGCGGGGGCGGGGGCGGCGGTCACTGGGGCGCGGCTAATCCCCGGCCGCTGGCGCAGACAGGATGCGGCTCGCTGGTCGCGCGTCCGCTTCCTCCGGCCGAGCAGCTGTGTGCGGACACGCAGTCCGATCGCTAACGTAGCGCACTCACACACACGGTTGGCCGGCACACACCGGTGACACAGCGCTCGAGCGTCACGGCTGGGTGGGGTGCGGAGAGCCGCGGTCCCACGTCCCACCGGCCACCCAGGCTGCACCGGCCGCGTGGGCGGACCGAACCACGCGGACCGAGCAAGGTTCACCGCTAACATTCTCACAGACAGCTCACCGACTACGATGCCGTGAACGTCACGTACCAGCCAGCGGTCAGCGGACATGATCGGTGCACCAACCTTGCAGGCTAATCCTAACCAACAGTGTCATAAGACGGTTCAGTACCTACCTACCTATCCCATAGCTCACACAGAAGTACAAAACCTAGCCGTTCCACCCGACACACCAGCCTTAGACACAGCCCAGCGCCGCCGGTCCGCGGCTGGCAGGCGACCCGGCTCGCTTCCCGCGCCATGTATCCCAACAGAGCCGTGAAGGCACGCGCCGCGAGCTCTCAGGAATCTGACTGGTGAGTGGGGCTTTAACGCGTGATGGATGGGAGGGCTGTGCGCCGCCCAGCCGGCTGGACAGGAGGTGAGAGGGGTTTAAATTTCCCCGCGGACTCGGACCGAGCGGCACAGATGCACACCTGGAAAATGGGCCATTGAGAGATGGATACAAGTCCTCGGAGGACCTGGTGATTGCTCTGACCGGAATTATAATTTTTATCCATTATAAACAGGAGGAATTGTGATATATGTTCATGCATAATGAAAGACGTTGCTGATATTGAAACGATGCATGGGCCAGAAGACGATGGCGAGACCTAAAACTGAGTAGGGAACGTTTTAATCGCGCATTTGCTCCAAATACATCCATTCTGCAAGACAATAGTGGATCATTTCTAAGTCAACCCCGTCACAAGTCACACAATTAAAACGGCGTGATTAAACCTTATCTTGATTCTTTCTTTGCGTATACGAAAACTAATGCCTAAAGCGATCGTCTGGAATAAGAGGCGTTCTTTCCCGGAATTTCGAGCACAAAACGGAAGTAATGCTGTAAATACACTCAGCCCTCGGTCTCACTGAGCAGTGAGCATGCCAACGAGGTGTGGTCAGCGCCAGTGGCCGTGGTACCGCCAGTAGTGAGATCGCCGACACCGCGCCGCGTCTGCCCCTTTTAATGACGTCACCTCGGCGGCCGGCCGGCGACCAAAGTACCTCCACCGGCGCCCGGGGCGACAGCAGCCATTGTCTGGAACTGGCTGCCAGCTCGTAGCGCCGCTCGTAAGGCGGCTCTCAGCGCCGCTGCGATGGCCCTCTGAAGCGGCGAATGGGCTGACCGCTGGCCGCCAACGACTGCGAGGAGTCGGGGCCGCACCCTCCCGGACGGACGGACGGACGGTGGCTGCACCCGCCGCTCGCCGGTCGGTCAGTCGGCCGGTCAGACTCGGCGGGAGGCGGCGGGGAGTGTCAGGGTGTCGTGTTCTCTGTCTCGTGTTCCTCCCTGTCCGCTCTGGGTCACCGCTCGGGTCGGCGGTGGCGGAGTAAACAAGCCGTCGAGAGGGGTGTATCTCGGGTCGCCCTCCTGCAGCGGAGCGGAGCGGCGGCTCGGTCGGAGCGTCGCTAACGACGGCCGCTGCGCTGAGCGCCGGCCGGAGGCACCGCTGCGCTGATTACCGGCGCGCAGGTGCCCGCTGGAAGCGGCGCCCGCCGGCCGGCAGTTAAGTGTCGGCTGTCAGAGGGTGGTGTGCGTCTACTCGGTGATGAGACGGCCGCGGCGACGGACACGATGCGCGGCGTCCGGACAGTGATCTGCGCGCTGCTGCTGGCCACAGCGACCGCCGGCGAGCGGTGCGAGCCGCTGCCCGGGCCGGCCGCGCGCTGTCACCTCACCACGCTCGACGCCGGGCCGCTGAACGTGACACGGCCCGGGTCGCTGCGCCGACTCGAGCTCGTCTGCTCAGACACCACACACGTGAGCAGGGACTTCTCGGTGGCTCTGGGCAGCGCGTTCACAGAGCTCCGGGAGCTGAGTGTGACACAATGTGCTCTGGGACTGCTCCGGCGAGGTGTGTTCCACCGTTTGCGACGGCTGCAGACTCTCCGTCTGAGAACATTCAGTCGCGACTGGACTGCGGCCGAGATGCGGCTCGAGCGGGGCTGTTTCGACGGCCTCGTGCACCTGGAGACGCTCGACCTCAGTGAGAACAACATGTGGTCGCTGGAGCGGGGTGTGTTCGAGGACCTCACCTCGCTGAAGGTGCTGAACCTCAGCGGCAACAGTTTCCAGGACCTGACGGAGCTCCGGGAGACCGGGGTCAACGACGGACTCCATATGCTGGACGTGTCTCACAACAGTCTGATGGAGCTGTCGGCCGCCGGGCTGCGGGCGTTCCCCGGCCTTCGGGAGCTGCGGGCGGGCCACAACCAGCTGGCGGTGATCCGGGACGGCGCGCTCAGGGACCTCCGCCGTCTGCAGAAACTGGACGTGTCAGACAACAGGCTGGTCGCCCTGCCCGCCATGATGCTGAACGAGACGCGACTTCTTCGCGAGCTGCATGTCCAGAATAACAGCATCCGTGTGCTGCCGCCAAGTCTGCTGTCGGACCTGCCACAGCTACAGACGGTAAACATGTCGGCTAACAACCTCAGCTCGGAGTGGATTCGGAAGGACACCTTCGCCGGCCTGCTGCGGCTGATCGTGCTGGACCTGTCCTCCAATCACTTAGACGCGCTCAGCGTGGACGTGTTCCAGGACCTGACCAGCCTCCAGTCGCTGGACCTCAGTGAGAACCTGCTGGAGACGCTGCCGGACGGCGTGTTCGGCTCCCTCAGCAACCTGCACACGCTGAGACTCTCCGACAACCTGCTGCGACACCTCGGGCGCCGCACGCTGGTGGGGCTGCACGTCCTCAGCGCCCTGCGGTTGGACGGCAACCGGCTGGCGCAGCTGGACGAGCTGACCTTCGCAAATGTCACCGGCGTGCAGAGCGTGCGTTTGGACAGGAACGAGCTCCTGACGGTGCCGGCAGCGCTGTCCCGTCTCACGTTCCTCGCGCGCCTGGACCTGGGCGACAACTTCATCTCAGAACTACCTGCTGGAGCTTTCAGCACCCTCCGTCAGCTGAGCGCGCTTCGTCTGGCTGGAAACCAGCTGGTGAATGTGTCAGCGCGCGCTCTGTCCGGCCCTGTGGCGCTCAGCGTGCTGGATCTATCGCGGAACCGGCTCACCCTCATGGAGAGCGGCGCTCTGGATGAGCTCAGGGAGCTCAGGGTGGTGCGGATCGACGCCAACCGTCTGACGAGCATCAACGGCCTCTTCGCCAAGCTGCCGCAGCTGCTGTGGCTGAACGCCAGCGATAACCGGGTCGAGTTCTTCGACTACGCGCTGGTCCCGACCGGGCTGCGCTGGCTCGACCTGCACCGCAACCAGATCCGCGAGATCGGCAACTTCTACCGGCTGGAGAGCAAGATGGAGCTGCGCACGATCGACCTCAGCCACAACCAGGTGTCGCACCTCGGCCGCTCGGCAGTGCCGGACGCCATCGAGTACTTCATCCTCGCCGGCAACCGGCTGGAGACGGTGGAGCCGGGCACATTCGAGGCCAAGCGGCGCCTGGTGCGGGTCGATCTGTCGGCCAACCAGCTGAGCCAGCTGGACGCCCAGGCAGTCCGTCTGCCGGACGACCACGGGGACCGGCCTGCCGACCTCCTGCTGGGAGGGAACCCGCTGCTGTGCGACTGCAGCATGGACTGGGTGCTGACGATGGCGACGGCCACCTCCGCCGGACACCAGTACCGGGTGAGTCCCGCTGGCCTCTGCTGTGTGTGACAGGGAGAACAGGGACGCGAGACCCTGGCGTTGGTGTAGTAGCAGTTTTAATTGCTCATTGGTCCATGTGGCCACGTTTCCATCAAACCCAGTAGTCAAATACCGTCAGTTCGTCTTTCTATGTACCATGCACTGTTCTGTTGCATAGCTCTGTTCTATAAAGGGAAAGATTTCAGGCTGTTGCTTCTTCAACAACCACGATGTCTCCGCATAAAACTTCAGCGCCTACCATTATCAATTAGATAATCTTATTATCCCGCCAGTTTCTACCGTAAAAGAACATAGGTAATGTATCACCCATTGCATGCATACTGCCCACCCTACACGTCTTGTTCCGTCAACTGCAATCCGTGAAATGCCACCCGCATTTTCTAATCTCCATTGCCCTTGTGAGTCATTCTGCTGGTATCACTCCGCCCAGACCCGACATTATGTCGTGGTCCCTGCAGTGCACGGCCGGTTCTAGCCCTTGCCCGAGACTGATTACCCGGCTTAGCACCTGAATTATTTACTGAGCCTGCAGCGGTAATGGACATGGGGCTTATTTACGATTCTTTGATGGGTCATCTCATAAGCTGGCTACAACTCAGACCATTTCTGGAAATGGCAACTGGCTCGGACTCTCAGCTGTCATTATGGAGTAACGTACACATGACATTTCCCGAAATTCGAAGAGCTGGTCAAAGTGATATTAAACTTGAAAGGGCATCTCCCGTTTGAAACGTGGCAGTTGGTCACGTAACGCCTTTCAGGTCAAATAAGATCCGCTTCAGCATAGGAGGACGTGCATATATGCATGTAGGGCTAGGTGTTGGCCCCTGCTTTCAAATGCGTCTTGAAAGATGCTTTGTAAGATTACACTTTCGTGAGCCTTCAAAGCAACATATTTATCCACACCAATAACGTGAACCACTTTACGAGCTGCCAGGTCCTGTTTCTGGTCTGTATTTGGGTGGGCTCCCTCACTATACGCCCTGTAGATGAAGGGATAACGTGTAGCGCTGTAGGCGACATTTACCATATCGGCTGCGTTTCTCACGGCCTACTGCGGGTCACCCGTGAGGCGATTAGAAACTTTTACCGTCGCCGCTCACGCTCGATCGATCCGGCTGATACAAAGAAATTCGCAACGATACTGCGGCTGAATGGAACGTACCAAAGTGCGGCCAAAGTGGACCGAACAGCCAGCCTGATTATCGGCTCGTAAAATCGGCCCGATCGTGGCTCGACAGCCGCCGCGGAACAAATAGGACACGCTTCCCGGGCGAGTACCGCTAAATGCTAACGAGCCATCTGCGAGCGCTCGCGTGCCGCTGCCTCCTCAGTGTTCGGTGAACCGGAGCAGCGCGCGGCGCGGTGGGCGGCTACACGCGAGACTGGGCCCCCTATTTGTAGTTGGACGTGGGCCGCGACCCCGCGACTCCGAGACAACACTCGGGTCCGACAGAGCGGCGGAAAGTCTGCCACCGACACCTTCGCGGAAACCCTCAAAGGCTGAACATGATTGCATGTGGTATGTTGGTCCGATCCGATGACGGCGTGTGATGACACCTGTTGTTATATGGAGTTTGTAACGTCACCGGCTTCATGTGAACGGTGTTTATCGACTAAAGTGTCACGCTCTAAACTAGGCAGCGCGGCTTCAAACAAACTGATTTTAGAGTCGATTTCGCGGTCGCAAGTGCAATGGCTCATTTAGGGATAGGAATGATACGAATGCTCAAGTAATATGGCACGCATTGCGCGCTGATGCGTTTCCGCAAATGTCTCACAACTGACGACTGCAAACTTATCAATGGTAATGCAATAAGGAAAGTGGCCAACAAATCGAGAGCGATATCGTATCTACCTACCCAAGGGCCACTTAAGAGTAATTGTAAAATGCCTGGGCAGAAAGACATTCCGCTCCCACGGCAGCCTCCAATGTCCGTTTAGATAATGGAACCAATACACAGGCCGTATTCTTGATTGGGGGCCGGCCTGAAAGCCTCCCAGGTTGCACGGTCCGAGTATATGGCTGTCGATAACGTTATGAGAGCCTGCTTTATGTCGACGCAATGATGTAATGGCTGCAGCGAGCCGTACCTACGCCGCAACAGGCGCTCCGGACATTATCGGTTGGCCAGCGAGGTATTTATGGTATAGGAAGGCAGACGGTTTTGACGAGAGACTGCACATGCACAGCGACGCTGCTCCGACTCGGGAAATTCACTACCGCTCCAAATGCCTCGATGGTCTTATGCTGCTGGTTGAGATAGCTTGCATTGCAGAGGGATTGGAATGACGTGCAGTGCAGAGACAATGGATCCAATCAAATACTTCCCGCGGAAAGACCATGGATGCGGCACGCAGGGATGATAGCTATGCTACAGAGCTATACTGTACAGCGACGCTGATATGTTCAACTCGCATGCTAACGTCAAAGCATGCCAACATATGATCAATGATCAGACATGATAACGTCTGGCTGAGATGTCTGTTATGTTTGTATGAAGATTGACGTTTAAACGTATGCATCTGAAATTCAAACAAACTTACACATTTTAAGATGATGTGAGACACTTCATCCCAAGTTAAATATGGAAAAAGTAACGAACTCCTGAAGCAATTTAAAGATGGAAAGACGAAACAATCGAACGGCGAATCACCACCGTCTGTCGTTGACCTTTGACCTGTCTTCCCCGTGCGGCCGTGCCTGGCCTGACGGTCGCCTTCTGTTCTCGCAGGTGCTGGACGCCGACCGGATCATGTGCCGCCTGCTGCACTCGCCGGTCGGCCTGGTGCCCCTGCTGGAGACCAAGCCGACCGACTTCCTCTGCACCTACGAGCGCCACTGCTTCGCCCTCTGCCACTGCTGCAACTACGTCGCCTGCGACTGCGAGATGAAGTGTCCCGACGGCTGCACGTGCTACCACGACCACACGTGGAACACCAACATGGTGGAGTGCAGTGGTCGAGAGCAGCTGGCCATCTCGCGCGAGATTCCCATGGACGCCACTGCCGTGTTCGCCGCCGGAAATAACATCCACAGCCTTGAGAGCCACACCTTCATCGGCAGAAAACGCATCCGACAACTGTACGTCAACAACTCCAACGTCGAGGAGATCCGTAACCGCAGTCTGAACGGCCTCTCGGCGCTGCAGGTCCTCCGACTCGAGGACAACCTTCTCCCGGAGCTGCAGGGCTACGAGTTCGACAGTCTCGTCGCGCTCCGTGAGCTGTACCTGCACAACAACCGTCTCCGTCGTATCCACCCGGCCACGTTTTCGCGACTGCGTGCGCTGGAGGTACTCACGCTCCACGGGAACCTGCTGGTCAGTTTCCCGGCGTGGCGACTCTCCAGCCCCTACCTGGTGGAGCTCACGCTCGCCTCGAACCCGTGGTCGTGCGAGTGCGAGGTGGCCGAGCCGCTGGCCGCGTACGTGCGCGACCACCGCGCCAAGATCGTCGACGCCGACGACATTCAGTGCGAGTACGTGTCGTCGTGGCCGCGCTGCGCCCGCGGCGGACTGGCGGCCGCGCCGGCGGGCGCCGACTCCCCGGTGCGGCGGGGCGGTTCAGAGCGCGGCGTGCCGCTCCTGGCCGTGCTGGGAGGCACCGCGCTCGTGGTGGCCGCTGTGGTGGCAGCGCTGGTGTTCCGGTTCCGTGGCCGGCTCTGCGGTGCCGGAGGGGGTGGGGCCGGCACCGAGCCGCCCGCCAAAGCGTCCCTCGCAGCGGCGACCACCACCGTGACCAGTGACGCCGAGAAAGAGTACGACGTGTTTGTGACGTACAGCGCACAGGACTCGCGATTCGTCAACGAGGTGCTGGCGCCCGAGCTGGAGCACTCGACGCCCTCGTGCCGTCTGTGTCTGCTGCGCCGCGACGCGCCCAGCACCGGGTACCTGGGCGACGCCGTGCATCACTGCGTGCGCTCCTCGCGGCGCACACTTCTGCTGGTGTCGCGCGGCTTCCTCGACCACGAGTGGTGCCGCTTCGACTTCAAGACGCCGCACGTTGAGGCGCTGCACGGCTCGCGCGCCGTAGTCGGCGTTCTAGTGGGCGTCGAGCGCCACCACATGGACGCCGACCTGCGCAGCCTGCTGCGGCCCTCCGACTGCGTCCGGTACGGGGGACCCGACTTCTGGCGCCGCCTGCGGGCGCTGCTGCCCACCGGCCACGGCCTGAAGGCGCTCTACGGTCTGGGGCCGCCGCCGGCGTCACCCCAGCCGCCACCGCCACCGCCGCCGCCGGCGCCGGGCGAGTCGCCCTCGCCGACGTGCTCGACGGTGGTCTCCGAGGACCGGTCGGTGGGCCCGCTGCACGGCCGCTCCGACTCCAGCCACGCACTCGTCTACAGCGCGCAGGCGCCGCACAACACGAGCTACAGCAGCCTGCGGCCCAGCGAGCACACCTACATGACCATCGACCACTACCACTCGCTGCGACGGCCGTCGGCGCCCACCGAGTCGGAGCTCTACTGCACCCTGGAGCCGGAGCTGCAGCCGCAGATGCCGTCCGACCCGCACCATCCGGCCAACCAGGGTCAGTTGACCTCCCCGGGGCACCTGACCCACCCAGGTCACCCGACTGACCCGCGTCAGACGCTGTACTCGGCGCGGACCGGTCAGCTGTACCACCGGGGATCGCAGGGTCACCCCTCACAGCAGGGATATCAGGCACACCCCTCACAGCAGGGCTACCAGGGGCTGCAGGCCCACCCTTCGCAGCAGGGCTACCCGGGACACAGGGGCCACGTGACCCTGCAGGCCGACCACACGGGTCACCAGAGTCAGCTGTCCAGTCAGCAACACCGCAGCACACCGACTCACTCGCTCTGGGTGTAACACTTTAGAAACAATAGCCCCCGTACCGGTAACACTACACGGCCGTCTGACGGGGGCGGGCCGGACAGAGGGACCCACTTTCGGGGCTCGGTGCCCGCGCCCCATGACGTGTCGGCGCGGCGGCGGCCGGCCGGCACCGTTCGGGCCACTCTCATCGGTATGCGGGCCGGCCGCTGCCGGCGAAGGTCACTGGCCCTGTGACCCAGCGGGCATCCCTTTCAGAGGCTGCAGCCGCCGCTGCGGCTCCTTCAGCCGTCTCTCTCCTCACTCTCGGTCGTCCGTCTGTCTCCGAACGCTCCTCGGCGAGCGATGGTCCTGTCCGACCGGGCCCAGTGATTCTGCGCGCGTCTGTCTGTGTCAGCGCACGCGCGCTGTGTGTGTGGGAATGATTGTACATACGAGATAAAATCGCTTATTTTGTTATTCTAGTCATATCGTCCGACTGTAATACATTGTCGATGCTACGCTTGACTTATTGTTAATGAGCAATCAGCGACAGAGAGGCGGCTGGTTTGGTCTGATGAGTAATGAAGCGGCGATCAGAGATACATCGGATCGGCAGCACCGGGTCCGGGCCGGAGCCGGGCGCGCCGGGAAGTAACTGGTCCTCTGCTTGATATTCCATCAGAGCACGCCGCGCCTGACCGCCACTCGGCCGTCCAACAGTGGACTCATTAGGGCGATAGTGGCGAGGCGGCCCTCCCGCCCCGCCGCCGCCCCGGATCGAGCTGGGAGCACCCCGCGTCTCCACACGTGTCCGCTGGCCCGACCCGGGTCAGGCGCCGACCCCTCACCTCCGGAGCGGCGCGGCGGGCCGGCCGGAGCGGTCACGGGCCGGAGCCGGCGGCCGTGACAGCGCCGTGACCCTAATTGGAGCCGCTCAGAGCCGCGAGCCGGAGTCCGGGTCTGGTCACCCACTACAGGTGTGTGACGGTACCGGACGGGCGGCCGCGGCGGCCGGCAGAGTGGCCCCAGTCCGCGTAATACCCGTGTTTATACGGCGTGATGAATCAGCCACGAGCATAAAACCCAGTTAGCGGTGGTATATCGGGCCGAACGCCGCCGCCGATTGGCCGCAGGTTTGGTATCGACTGGGCTGGCAGGGCAATGAGTCAGTGTTGTTACCTCGGGCGTATCACGGCCCTGATTGGGTGGCCAGTCATCGACAGAGGCAATCGCTGCTCCAGATACACGTTTTTGTCGTATGGTGGTCATACGATGACTGTATAATTGATAACAGAACTGCCGGTGTCCGGTATGAAAGGCAAACCAATTAATTTAGGAATGTAATTTTATGTGAACGACATTGCAAAACCATAAAGTTAATGCCAGTGTTCTTGGTTGGTTTTTAAACTTTCACGTTGTTTAGGTAAACTGATCCTAAAACCTTTTTAATTAACAGTGAATGCTTCGCCTTCGATTATAGTATTCAAATTAAAAAACACTGAATACTAGGCACGAAAAAGAGCTGCGGATATAGTTTCGAAAGAATAACATTTTTATTTGCTTGGGAAAATAAGTCGCTAAATAAACTAAATAACTAAAAATGAATACATTTTTAATTAACAGAGGCAAGCTTACGACCAAATCATCAACCCACTCATAACAAATACCTATACCTGAGTAAATCACATCATTTGTCCTCCGTTTGTAGTTTTATCTAAGCATGCTGTACAGGGTGTCCCGAAATTGATGTCCTCTCCCGTTCGTTACGTTTCCTCAGAGCAATACCGGTATACCAATGGCGCTTTACCGGGACCCGACCCTGGGGCACGGTCACGTGTTTGTTGGTCACGTGACCTAGCCAGGTGAGCCGACCCAGGACCCGGCGGGGCGGCAGAGGTCATTTACCGAGAGGGTCGCGAGGCGCGCGGACTGCATATCAGCCATGGCGAAGGAGTACCCTTTGTCGACTCGCTATCGCGGCCCAGGGGCGGATCCAAGGGGGGGGGGTCACATGGGTCATGGTCCCCCCCTTGAGGCCCGGGGGCCCAAAGACCTGCCAGGGGCACCACCGGCCTATCAGGGGTATCACAGTCCTGACAGGGGCACCACAGGACCGCCAGGGGCACCACAGGCCTAGCAGGGACACCACGGGCCTGGTGCCTGGGCCCTGACAGGACTGTAACGCCCCTGACAAGCCTGAAGTGTCCCCGGCAGGCACGTGGTGCCCCTGACAGGCCTGAGGCGCCCCTGCAAGGCCGGTGGTGCCCCTGGCAGGCCTGTGGTGTCCATGGCAGGCCTGTGGTGCCCTTGCTAGGTCTCTGGTGCCCCTGACAGGCTTGTAATGCCCCTGGAAGGACTGTGGTGCCCCTGGGCCCTGACAAGCCTGAGGTGCCCCTGACAGGCCAGTGGTGCCCTTGCTAGGCCTGTGGTGCCCCTGGCAGGCCTCTGGTGCCCCTGACAGGCCAGTGGTGCCCTTGCTAGGCCTGTGGTGCCCCTGGCAGGCCTCTGGTGCCCCTGACAGGCTTGCGGTACCCTTGGAAGGACTGTGGTGTCCCTGGGCCCTGACAAGCCTGAGGTGCCCCTGACAGACCTCTGGTGCCCTTGCTAGGCCGCTGGTACCCCTGCGCCCGGAGAGGACTGGTGCCCCTGAAAAGTCTGAAGTGCCCCTCGGCAGGCCCGTGGTGCCCCTGACAGGCCCAAGGTGCCCCTGCGAGGCCGGTGGTGCCCCTGGCAGACCTCTGGTGCCCCTGGCAGGTCTGTGGCGCCCCTGGCAGACCTGTGTTGACTGGTGCCCCTGCTAGGTCGCTGGTGCCCCTCACAGACCTGTGGTGCCCCTGGGCCTTGACAAGCCTGAGATGCCTGGCTATGACAGGCTCGTGGTGCCCCTGATAGACCAGTGGTGCCCTTGCTAGGCCTGTAGTGCCCCTGGCAGGCCTCTGGTGCCCCTGCTACCCCTGCGCCCGGAGAGGACTATGGTGCCCCTGAAAAACCTGAAGTGCCTCTCGACAGGCCCGTGGTGCCCCTGGGCCTTACCCCTGCGAGGTCGGTGGTGCTCCTGGCAGGCCTCTGGTGCCCCTGGCAGGTCTGTGGTGCCCCTGGCAGGCCTGTGTTGACTGGTGCCCCTGCTAGGCCGCTGGTGCCCCTCACAGGCCTGCGGTGCCCCTGGAAGGACTGTGGTGCCCCTGCCCCTAGGGGTGCTCATGGGCCCAACAGGCCCGTTGTGCCCCTGACAGGCCTGTCGTGTATACTTGCTAGACCTGTGGTGCCCCTGCTTCCTGGCAGGCCTGTGGTGCCCCTGGCAGGCCTGTGGCGCCCCTACAAGGCCGTAGGTGCCCCTGACAGGTTTGTGGTGTCCCTGGAAGGACTTTGGTGCCCCTGACAAGCCTGAAGTGTCAAGGAGAGACCCTTTAGACGCCAGGGTCAAGTTCGTCGGACTGACAACGATTTGCTTACCTGATAACGTTCCTGGTAAGTACTCACTACTCAGCGTCCACAACATATATATGTTACAGGGAGTTTGAGAAATCCGTGAGTTTGCAAACTCCCTAGTGAGTTTGCAAACTCCCTGACCCATCAGTGACTTTGCAAACTCACTAGGGAGTTTGCAAATTCACTAGGGAGTTTGCAAACTCACTGACCGGTCAGGGAGTTTGAGAAATTCCAGAGCGATTGGGTCAAATAAAATCAAATGTGTAAGATGAGGGTGGCATACGTGCCGTCCGTGATGTTAAAACAAAAGCGACTAGTGGTACGGCCTATATAACCGTCGCACGCTGATATAAACCTTACAGATCCTTCATTGTTTTACCCAAAAAAAAAAAAAAAATGCTTCTCGCGGCTATGTAAAGGGGAAGTTCGGAGCAACGTGCTCCTCCGTTCCGTCGTTTCCATCCTCAGGAATCAGGATACTGAAATCCTTCTCGTCCACGCCGAAACCCCCACTCCCGGGCTGGACAGGCACCTTTATCTCATGCGGGCTGCCCTGCCGAGGGAGCGCACCCCGTAGCCGGGTGCAAAGAGTGCTTGGGGGCTGGTCGATCTGTCAATTCGGACGGGCTCAGCCCCGGCGACTCTGCATATAGGGTGTCTGCCCAGACCAATGTCTCCCCCTATAATTCCTATCATTCGTCCGACTCTGAAATGGTCTTGTCAGACCGAAAGGGCCTAACCCAACAAAACAAAAACAAACAAGCAGCGTGCGCCATTCGCAGCTGGGCTGGCTGCCAGTAGCGCCGGCTCTCGATGATACGTCTATGGCGGAGTGGGAATGGGCGTGAATTGATGCGGGTGCCTATACTTTAGCATAAGTGACCAACAGTCAGCTGTTTCTACTTTGATGTATTTAGCCTGGCTCTGGAATAGCCACACTTGAGTGGAACGGGTCTAATTGGGACGTGAACTAAATAAATGTATAACTAAATAAAGCGGCGGTACATGCATGGGTAAATCACTGAACAGTTTCAAATAAAAAAGGTATTTATGGTGTGCATATGATCTATAAGCTTTTTGTCAGCGTGCGAGGCCTTAGAGCTAGCCTCCTTTGTTTTAACATCACGGACGGCACGTATGCCACCCACATGCTGCACACTTGTTTTTATTTGGCCCAATCGCTCTGAAATTTCTCAAACTCCCTGACCGGTCAGTGAGTTTGCAAACTCCCTAGTGAATTTGTAAACTCCCTAGTGAGTTTGCAAACTCACTGATGGGTCAGGGAGTTTGCAAACTCACTAGGGAGTTTGCAAACTCACGGATTTCTCAAACTCCCTGTAACATATACACATAGCACATTCATATATACTTGCTTACAATTGGTAAATGTGGTTGTGGCTAAGAGTTAAGATACTGACTAAAAATAAAAAATAAAAAGAAAAAAAACTGAAAATGGGGGCACCACCAAAATGAAGTGGACGAAATCCGTTGAGTTTTTAATTTTGGGTATAGGTAGGGGCACCACTTCGATTCATGACCCTCCCCTTGGAGTTTTCCTGGATCCGCCCCTATCGCGCTGTCGGCATGGTCAACGGCGGCACGCCCCAGGTACAGGTAGCCAAGGAGCTAAGGATAGAGCCCAGGACCCTCAGACGCTGGATGGCCCTCGACCGCAAGGGAGATGCACTGGAGAACCACGGGGGAAGAGGGAGGAAGACAGCGATGAGCCGGGTGGCCAAAATCGTGGTGGCGAAATCCGTTACGAAACGGCACCAGTCGACACGGAAACTGGCGCGGAAACTCAGTGCAAAAAATCATCCGGCCTCCAAGTCCGCTGTCCACCGGTATCTGCGGCAGTGCCTCCGTCTGAAGCCGCTGAAACCGCGTGTGGAGCCCAAGCTGACGGCAGCACAGCGACGAAAACGGCTGGACTTCGCTAAAAGTCGGATCAACTGGTCCATACAGGACTGGAGGCGGGTCCTGTTCAGCGACGAGTCTCCTTTTGAGCTGTTTCATCCCCCCAACCGCCAGAACGACCATGTTTGGGCTCAGAACAGCTCAGAAGTGCCTGTCATCGAGACCGTCAAGCAGCCG